TCACCATATCAGAAGAGTCACCCGTTCTTTGCTTTTCATTTATTCTACCATGCATTGTCTTGTTCTATTCTTGTTTCATTGGTCCTGGGGCTGAGATGTGATAAGAGAATGAGGAATCTCATCAACTTGAATCCCACTCATGAGTAGACCTATTGACTTGAGCAAGAATAAGCTGTATGCATCAGGACTGCATGGTAAGACCTTGCCTTAGGAACTATTCTGTCCACTGCTGGACACTAGATGAACAAGAGACAAATTAGCTTAACTGGGAATAAAGGCATTCAGCATTTGCCTGGATGGAAGCCAAAGTCCATTGGCATGATTTCTTGGGTTAGCTCAGAATAACAACATCCTAATTTTGAGGAAAAGATCAGTCTAGAAATGTTTGTGTTTATTTTTATATCCTATATTCATTGTTGATAACATCTGTAATGTGGTTTCCTTCAGGTTAATGCAGATGATGACAAGGTCTGTGATAATGAAAGCCAAAACCACCCCAAAAAAACCCCATCAAAACCAATGTAAGGACTGGCTTTGAGTTCATGCAGGAAAAGTTGCCTTAAAAACACTGATCGGAAATAAATTTGAAAACATAACAGTTATTTTACTTTATGTTTATATATTTATATAATGGAGATTTTACATGAAAATATATGTGTTCTTTTGTTTTCTAAACAACCATGTTCAGTGAACCTATAAAGATGAGATTGTCAGAAAAGACAAAGGAAAAAAAAGAAGGAAAATGTGGAGAACATATTTGCTAATGCTGAATCAGAATGGTGTGATGACAATAAATTTGAAAAATATTTTAAGTTCTTTCAGGATAATATAAACTACCCTTTTAGACTTTAGGTCTCTTTCTTATAATTCAGAATTCTATGCTGTAGAAGGTTTTGGCTATGAATGTTCAGTATGAGTATTCAGTGGCACCTCACTGAATACTTCCTTACTGAATTCTACAGTGCTCACAGACTTTAGAACAACTATGTCACAGCATACCGAAACACACCTTTCTCAAATAAGACTACTTTACTTCTTTCCTTCTGTGTTTCAATATTAAACCCTTCTGTTTCCTCCCTTTTGATACAGAATCCTTTTTTTTTTGCCCGTTTCCCTAGATGAACTTAATAACACTGAATTTAATTCTTATTTATTTCCATTGTGTCTCTTTGTATTTCATAATATTCTTCTCCTCCATACTAATCATTGTTTTCACTTTGCTTCTCAAGTTACTAGCTATGTGTGGCCCAGTCTCTCACTGCTTAGTTCCTCTCCTCTAATTACTAAAGTTTGAATTTTCCATGTTAATTAGCAATCACAGAATGTAAGGGAACTGAAGATCATCTCATCCCAGTACCACCGCCACAGACAGGGACACCTTCCACTAGACCAGGTTGCTCAAAGCTCCGTCCAGTTTGGCCTTGAATTGATGTGTACATAGCTACTACGTTATAAGCCTGTGTTACGGTTTTTGAAACTTGTTATAGTTACTATTGTTGTCATTGTTATTAATATCTTAGGAGTTGTTTAGGTTTTTCCTAATAGATTTTCATTGCTTAATAACAAATAAAAGATTTTATGGGGTTATGTATTATTATGGGTTATATAGGATATGAGGTAATAACTACCAGAGTGGTGAAGGCTTGTGCTCCCCAGACGCCCCATGGGAAAGGCCCAGCGGCGGGCTGGGCAGGCGGGAGTCACTTGGCAGGTGAGAGGCAGCGAAGAGTGAGCCGAGCGACAGCTGGAAGCGAGATTGTGATTGGCTGGAGGAACGCGCGACACTGTATGCACAGGAAGCTGATTGGCTCGAGGAACACATGGACAGCATAGGAGCAGGAAGCTGATTGGATGACTGGATGTGTGGACAGAATCAGTGCAGCTGAACCAGCCAATGGGTACCTTCTCTCTGTTAGGTCTTGGTTTGGTTTCAGTTTTTTTGGATAGAGATTAAAGGCGTGAAAAGGGTGTGATTTTTTACAATAAGGGGATCTCATTTGGATGCATAGGGGGTCTGTGTCACTTTGTTCCTCACTGCTACAGTGGCACTTTAACGAGCACACCTAATCAGGATCCTTTTTTTTTCAGACCACAAAAAGATTGCAAACACTAGTCAGTGTATCTTCAGTTCTGATTCAGAAGAAAGGTTACTGTCTAAACAACTAATACTATCACATATGCCATAAATCCACATATTTAGGAAACTCACTGTGTAACTAGATTTTACATTATTTTTGACTTTTCTACAAGCAGAAATGGACACAATATTAATTGCTGAATAGGTTTTGACCAATATTTTGAAAATAAATAATAGCTATATTATTCTCTCCAATATGTTAAAGCTGTCTCCCTGCAGGCAAGGTATTCTTCACTTTAGTTTCAGAAAGTGCTACTATAATTGCAGTAAGTCAAATGTCTTTTAACTCAGCACTGGGAATGCAAATGCCAAAAAAGTTGTAGTGAAATATAGATTGGCAATCATGGCCTGTATGTACACAGGCATTTCTGCCTTTTTAGGGAGAAGTGAATTCAGCTATTTTTTTTTTTTTTTCTAGTTTTGCAAAATCATATGTAAAACTCATGTCCTGTGAAGCTCCTGTCTACCTATTAGTAATCTTGCTTCTTGGTTAATTATTTTGAGCTTTTGCAACAAAATAGAAAACAATGTATTAATAAAGACAAGCATTTATTTTAGATGCTGGAGATACTTAATTTGTGCAGCAACATTTTTCACTTTTACCTTAATTTAAAAATGTTCACTGCCTTACACTGCAACAGATTAGTAAGTACCGTCTATGCTGTAAATGGTCTCTAAAACATTCCATCATGATTTTAACATAATTACTAATTAATATTGCTACACTTTAATACAATGGATGTTCATGTGTTTATTATCATATATGTAAAAACATTTTTATAAATATAGAATTTGCTGTGCATGACCTCTCTTTTCTACTGCATAAAATAACTTTCCTTCATCAAAAGCTCTGAAAATGTGTTTTAAAAATCACATAAACTGCCATTTCTGTTTACATTGTTGGACATCTGGTATTCTATTTTAGAGACCAAAGGAAAACCTCCTAAATCAGCTGGATTAGCCTGTTCATGTCAGTGAGTTTGTCATTCTGATATTTAGAATGCTATCTATGGAATTTATGCTTTGTCAGTACCAAAAATGACAGCAGGTATGGGAAATACCCTCCAGATGTGATGCAACAATTGGTAAGTGAAACTAGTAGAAATTTCACTATAACATACATTAACAACTATAACAACTATTTCCAATGATAAAATGTAGTTTCTATAGTCAAAATGTTATTTTCAGTGTAATACTATAATTCTCAATCTCTGAAGTACTCCAATTTATTTGAGGTTTAGAATTCCTCATCTGTCTTAACAGAAATCGGGTAAATTCAAAGTATTTGCTTACACTTCAAACTCAGCCCACCAGAAAAACCCTGCAGAGTAATTGTACACTATAAAAATTTTCTTGAAAACAAGGTAGTTTTTTTATTTTCAAAATGTCTGGGACTATAAAGTATAAATTACCACTATGTATGAAAAATATTCAATTTTTCATAGAATGTAATATGGGCAAAATCTGTCACCCTATCCTAAGTTCTAGGATTTGATTTCCGTTGTCTAAAATGGGAACCATATTTTCTGACCATGCAGTTTCCAGGGTCACTTTCTCCAGACGAGCAATTCACACAAAATAAGTAAGGAGCAATTTAGACTTAAGAGTGACAAAAGAATTTGAGACTCTTATTTCATACACTCTTTTTTAGCTTTGGCAGAGGTCTTAGAGGTCTTGAGAAAATACCTACATTTCTTAGCTGAATGCTGGAAGGCTTCCCTCCTTAGAAAGAAATAAGTATGTACTTTACCAGTTAGCCTAGTTTGCAGGATGATGAAATGGCAGGAGGAAAAAAAAATTACTATTCAGGCTTAAGTGCTGAAAAATGAAAATGTAAGCTTCTCTACTCAACAGCATCCTCTTCTCAACTCTCAATATTTCTTCTTGACTACCAATTCTGTAGTCTTATCATTGAACTTCTTATATTCCAATGTGAAATGCTGGCTGCAGAAAGGCAATACTTCTAACAGCCTTTAATTTCCAAAACTATATACCACTAAATTTATAGTACTTAATGCTAAAATAAGATAACCAATAAAGATTTAGGAATCAAATATCCATCTTAAAAATTTATCATTTAGGAAAACAGTCATATTTTCTTACTGTGAAAAAAATCTGCAGAATTCTTATTTAACAAAATCTATGATGAATTTAACAATTAGTAGCTACACAATACTAACTAAAATAGTTGAATTTAACAAAAAAGGTTTATACTTACCATTGCCATGAGCCAATATGCATCTTCCTCAGATGCTTGCTGTTACAGACTATCTGTGAACAGTTTGCTTTTCTAAGCTCATGAAGGATGGGTTGGCTGTCTTGCTAAGGCTTAATAGGATAACAAGTCCAATTTTTTTTTCTTTAGACTTACCTCCATCAGTACCATCAAACCCAGTCAGCAATGATAAACAGTATATACATAATCTTCAAATCAATGAAGCAATAAAGGACTACCACTTATTTAACTCTTTACAGCTAAAGCAGATATAAAAACAACAACTAAATTACCCAGTGGCTATAAAATGTCAGCTCTGTCTGGAAAGTCTTTATCAATCAGATTACCTAATTAAAATTAAAGATAAAAGAGGGAGCAATGTTCACAGCCTTGTTCCACTTCTTTTTCTATTTCTGTCTGCTAAGCTCAGAATCTGATTAGTATATTTAATTCCATGAAGCATCATGACTGGCCTACCTTTAATCAGCCTGTTGACATCCACCCGTTTTTCCCTCACATCTTGCAGACTTCAACATAATCATTTGCTGACTTGCAAATGTTCTTACAGAAAACATAATGTTCAAATTATAAAATCAGCACTGGAATGATTCTACTTTTCAAGTGTTTACATATATCCAGAATGAAAAATGAGTTAAAAGAAGTATATTTATTGGGACAAATGCAAAGTTTGTAAAAATATCATTGTCAGTATTATATTTACATAAAATGTCATTACATTGCATGAGATTACAGTTTCATTAGAAGTATCAATTTTGGTTTGTATTCAAAGACCTAATTATCTTTTCCTGCTTTATTAAGCTACTATTTCTGTTATCTGTAAATAATAATAAAAATAGATAAAATACATAATATTTTCAAATTATGTATTGAATAGAAGGTAGTTCTCTTGCAGGCAAACTGCGATAACAAGCATCTCCAGAACTTTCTGCCTTGTACATCTGATGTCATGAGTACTTTTTGGTCTGATACCATTGTACAAGCAAGGGAGAAAAGAGACAGATCATTACTCACAGTGCAGAAAAAACCACTTTTTTTAGTTATTCTCTTAATCTACTGCATTAACTTTGTGTCAAGAAAAAGCCTGCTGCAAAAGCTGCTGCTGTTTTTTGCGTGAGTTGAACTACTGAGATTTTCTGGAGGTGTTGCCCATACAACACTCCAGTCAGAACCACTACAGTCTGTTCAACTGCTTCTAAATTTAATTTGGCACTTTCCTGAACTGCTGTAGTTGCCAGATAACCACAGCATTTGGCTCTTCAATTCGACATTTCCTATGTGAACTGCATAAAGTAAGTGTCCTTCAAAAAATGTGTAAGTAATAAATTCAAATCCTGACCTACAAACAGGGAAAATTAAGTAATAAAATGCCAGGAAAAATATTTTCTTAAAAATATTAGATGTACCTAACTAGTTTTCTTAAACAAGAGAGATAATATAAAGACTAAAAATTATTGACACACTGAAGTTATTAGACTTGAAAGATCATTAAAATATTACTCTCAAAATCAGAGATTAAGTGTGGTCCTTTTGTCATGTAATTATTTTTCTGGTTTTTTTTTCATATAGGAAAGTGTACATTTTCAATTTACTTATTAGCATTGTAACTGCAGAAATATACTGGTATACAGATTCTCAAAAAGAAGACAGATTATTAACATCAGTATTGGTTAGGGATACTGTGTTTGGAGTTTCACTTTTATAAGCCCATCTCTATAGCCACTCACCATAATTTTCTACACAAAAAAAATTCCAATAGTTCCAAAAGCATTCCTATGGGTCTTAGTCATGTACATTTTTATGCTACCTATATTTGCTCTACACTTTATCCTCCCTCGCTCCTCACTCCTTTGTTATTCTTCTCTCTGAATGCAATCACTACAGCACTAGTTGAAACTTCCTTTTATTACTCAGCTTCCACCACTTTCTGCATACTTTACAATATTCTCCTTTACTCTATGAGCAACCTCCAACTTATAACTGCCATTGTCACCATGCAGTCCTGCTGGTATGTGTGGCCTACAACAGCTTTCTATAACTTGCCTTCTCTGTAAAAGCAATTTTTAAGGGAAGCAGTGTATTGTTTCTTTCTCTTGCCAGACACCTCAAGAGATAACTTCTATTTATTTGTATGTATGGCTAAAACGAGGGAGAGAATGAAGCAACACAATATGTCAAATACTCCCAATCTGTCAGGAAGGCTTCTTGCTTTAAAGTTTCTTAGGTATTGCCTTACAAAAAAAAAAAAAAACCAAAAAAAACTGCTGAGCATAGTGTGACATGGATAGGGAAAAAAAGAACAAATCAGGATTAGTAAAACAGTTTTACGGATTCCAGGTTGCTGAGAATTTTGGAAAAAATATGACACCATTCATTGTTAAAAACAATTTAAATTACTCCAAAGAAACAAATAATAAAATAATAAGTTAACATTTGTCACTATAATTGCATTTTCCTCAGGTCATTTGCATTTCTTTTGATATCCCCGCAATGACTGCAGAATGACAGACTACAAACTATTACATAATGAAATCAATAATAAGTCAGTATACTGTCCTTTTTAGAATTTCATCATTATCTTAAATAACTTGATAAATTAAGGCACAAATCTGAACTGTACCATTAAAAACACATAAATAAATATTTTAATTAACATATTGCTATTCCAGTCTTATAGCTGCAGTTAATATACTTCTTTCAACTATAAGATTCTTAATAGCAGTAACAATCTTAGCATCTCTATTTCCATAAAGAATTTTGTGCGTATTTTGAGATATGTCTTGTTCTTCCTTCTCCCATTTTTCTATAATTTCATTTCTAATTATCAGAGAATGAAATTACTCACTGCCTAGCATCAATACGTACATTATTATCTTATAAAAATACTAATACTTTGGCAGTCAGGGATGGGTCTCCAACATCTTTTTCAAAAACAAAGTACTGTGTTATACCTTTAAGTTCAGGCTGACATACAATTGGGTAAGTGCAGGCCAAGTCAGAAAGGACGAGTAAATGCACTGCTTAGAGCATTAACATAAATTAGGTTATTAATGTAAAAGATACAAAGGACCACATATTCACTTAGCATACATATGATATTAACTTTAAAATAACCATACTTGGTAAGGCTTTCAACACGGAATGCAGATTTTTGTGACAGGTCAAATTTAAAAAATGGAGATATGCAAAAATGAGGAAGAAATAATTAAGGCCACACAGGAGGATGTAAGCAGAGAACTCGAACAGCAGACAAGGTCAGACAGCCCTCTTTGTAATGCTGTGACTCTGTCCAGTGGGGGAAGACCAAATCAAACATAAAAAGTATAAGAGAAAAAGGCATAATCATTTCATTCTAGAACAAGAAACACAGCCTGTACTCAACAAGGTACTAATTCTACTTATTTGTTTACTTGATTGGCATAATTATTTCATTTTGTCCAAATCTAACTCAGGTCTGAAAGCACCTACAAAGATTTGCATAGTTTAGCTCTGGAACCAGTGTAAAGGCTTGGTTACACATTCACTAAACAAACAGTTCTAATTTATTCCTAATTAAGCATTCAACTGAAGAAATAACTTAAAGAAATCAATTATTTGAATTAAAGATTAGCAGTCATTCCAATCCAATGTTTCATCAACTGGTGTGCAATAGCTCGACTTGGTGGTACAAAGAAAGAATGCTGGTTTCCTTTAATGAGAACTTCCACGACCTGCAATAAAAGCAGATTATTTTATCTTTAGAAGATAGCATTATAAACAATATAGCATCTAACGTTGCATTAATGCAGAAATTATCCTCCTATAATGATCCATCAGTCTACCATTGCTATACCTATTAAAGAGCTACTAAGAGATTTTCCAAAGAAAATGTAAAGAAAGTCCAACATTGTGTGAATTATGACATTTTTAAGCTTAATGCGCTGTGGAGACTGTATACTATTTAAGGTTTCTCTGAAGCCTTATTATGGCAAGGACCACCAGATGGTGCTCTACACTGGGACAAAAATAATTATTTTAATGTTTACATGTAGTGCCACAGAGATGTGTTTTCTTGGTCTTCTGAAACAATTGCAAGTAAGTGAATACACTTTCAGTAATTTTTGAAGCATATTTCCAGCTGTACACCAATCTGCATGTGACTATTCAGAACTGATATTCCCTTAAAATAATGCTCCCAGTGTTAACAGAAACACAGTGAGATTGTAGGTCACTAACTTTGTCTTCAAGGTGACTTAGAGACAAAACGCTTTGAACTGCCAGCCAGATGTCCAGTGTTATTAAAAGCTTAGCTCCCAAGTTGCCTATAGGAAAACCTGTGAAAACTAAGTTGTGCAAGCAATTTTTCCTTCTACTCATGAACTGAAATCCTTCTGTGAATGTCTTTTCTGCCTCACTTTTATTTTACTATATTTTACCTACTGATGGAAGCTACTTGTAGGATTTCTTATTAATGCACAGTAAGCTATACTTAATAACAGAGTATTAAAATAGTACTGCATTAAAAAAGACGTTAAATCTAATGAATTGCCAGAGTCCTTACTTTAACTTCCACCCTCACAGCAAATCTGCTAGACTGCCTGTTTGAAGAAACGGTAATGAATAATGTGTTAAATACTACTACTGTATGAAAAACACAGGCTTGCTAAGGAAGTGGGTTAAAATAACCTGGCTATCTCACAGAAGGAAAAGGTGAAGAGCAAGTTGGCAAAAATGTCATAAAATGAGCTTGCAAGTAATTCAGACATTACTGTGAATACCTGTCTTTTTCTGGTTGTGTCTAACCTACAACCACAATATAATAGAACTGTAGTATGGCAAAATGAAGAATACACATGCTCATTTGACTTGCTGAAAAAGCAAGAGTCTGTTGTATGCCAGAACCAATACAGTCACAGACTAATCAATAGAAGAAAATGAAATTGAACTTTACCTGTTCCCTAGTGAACCAGCGGGCATCCTCTATTTCATTCTTGTCAACTTTAATTTCTGTGGACACTGCAACAGCTAAGCAGCCAATCATTAGGGAGGAGGGCATTGGCCATGGCTGACAAGAGACATACTGAACATGGGCAACTTTGACTCCAGCCTCCTCCTCTACTTCTCTTCGAACAGCATTTTCTATGGTTTCACCTAATCAAAAAGGGCAAAGAACAAGCACCTCATGAAAATACTCCAAGCAACAATCACATACTGTGCTTTGAACTGACTCAAAAGATTTGAAACTGCTCAAAGCAATTATCTATAAATATCTAGTTCACAGATCATGGCAAAGACCTCAGCATAAGACACAAAAGTCTAATAAGGTAAAATAGCCACCAAGGCATAAATGGAACTTTGAAAATAAAGTGTAGTAATTTCTCCATAATAATATTTATTTCCTGAATTGATAATTCATTATATTCACAAACCATTATCACTATACCTAAAATGTCAAAAATTAGGTAGAAAATACATAATTCCTGTAATCATCATTCTTGAAATGTGATTGTAACAGCATGTACCACAACTTGAAAAATCAGTATTTAGAATTACAATAGTAATAGTAAGAGATTTAGAATACTTGCTCACATTTCTGCATTGTACTATTTCCTTTGCTTGACTCATTCTTCATTGTCTTAACACATGCAGACAATACTGTAAATTGAAACTGAATGGAAAGCTTTGCTCCATATTCATAGAAAACTGCAGCTATATGTGTGTAGATTGCTGATGGTAACCAGCCTACACAGGCACACATGTGCTGTGCTGTAACCATTGATTACACGTTTATTCAAGAACATGATCCATCCATCAGAAAGAGTATCTTGACTTTTTTCAAATGATATATGAATAAACTTGTTCATGCTGCCACTGTATATCAACCTGCACATATTTACTGAATATATTTAGTCACTATAATTTCACTGGTGATAAAGATCTACTCAAAATAGAGTAATATTTTACAAGTTTTTCTGCAGGTACTTGAAATTGTAACTAACTTCAACTATTATTGCTTGACATAGCTATTGAAATATCTCTTAATTTTTCTTTCAGAATTATGTAATTTCTACTTCCATAGAATCAGTCAGGCCCTAAACACATAAGCATATGCTCAACTTCACATTAGCTTTAACTTACACTCTAACACTTACTTTTCCTATGCTAAAATCCTTTGCTAAGTATCACCAGTCAAGGTGACATGTTTTAAAATATTTTTTTTCATTTAAGTAGTAATTCAAGACTACATGATTTGAAAACTATTTTTATTTATTTATTTGTATATTATTTATTTGTATTTATTTATTTATTTGAAAACTGTTTTTACCTATTTTTTTTAATAAACCAGCAGCTGTGAAGTACAGAATAAGTGTATTTATTTTAACAACTCATCTATCAGGAAGCAAAAAAAATTCAATTTGAGATAACACAAATTATATTTCTCTGTAATTGTAAAGGTATACTACTTTTATTGAAAAAATACATTTGATAAAGGAAAATGAAAATATTCACCAGGTTCTATAAATCCAGCAAGGCAGGTAAACATTCCTGGGGGAAATCTCTTCTGCCTACCTAAAAGGCAATGGTTGCCATCTGGATGGATGACTTGCATGATCACAACAGGATCTGCAAAGGACATGAAATGACTGTATTTCAACAACTGAGAGACTTACTGCAGTAAAAACTTCTAGCCTATTACATACTAATGCATATAAAGACAAAAATGATATTGAAATCCTAACTGTGTCCATGCCCAGAGTAAGCTGTTATTTCATTTCACAATGGGATTACCTTCTATGCAAGATACCTCTTTATTTCGTTGTGCAACACACGTTTAGTAGAAGCAGCTTACTAACCAAGGCTCAAAATGCAGGACAGAAATTACCTGTAACCAAAGGACACAATCTGCTAAGAGTATCAGCAGTACTAACCTAGCTATGCATCCAGCATATACCAATTTTCTGCAACAAACTCATTTATTATCCTCTTCTCTTCACCACAGAGGTCTGAAGAGGTCTTTTTGACTAAACACCAAATAACTAGACACTTTGCTGACAATGCAAATACTGACTAAATACTGACTACTTTCCACCTTTGACTTTGTTTACTCTTTGCTATCAGTTTCTCATACGATGTTGCACTTCGACAAATTTTTCACTTCTGGTCATTGTATCTGTCTTTTATTCTTTCAAACTAATATCTTCTCCTATTGGTCTAAACAACTCCATCAACTTGTGATCTTTTTCCCTTTTTATTGTCATCTAGTTTTATGTAAAAAAGTAAAATGTGACCCTTTATACTGCTGATATCTCATTTATACTGTTGGAATTTCTAATTGATGTTACTTGTTGAAATAACGTTTGCATTGTCACAGCAATTCTGTATCACAGACTAGTACAAGAAAGAGAAGCCTGAACTACTTAATCCATAAAGAGCTGAGACACACATAGCCTGTGGAGAAACAAGTATGGAAGACCTAGAACAGAAGTAAGCAGCTAAAATAACTAGAAATAAACTGATTTACATGCATAGAAATTTACAAGCAATTGATTTATAAGCAAGCCACTTTTAAGTGAGCATTCTCACCAACTCTTGGATATGATGTGTTGTGAATTCCTTGGAGACTGGGACAATCTTCTTTTAAGCAAGTTTTCTTATAACCCCCTTCTTCAATCTTGGTTGCACTTCCACAGGTTGGGCAGAATCGGTAACGGTGGTGCCATGCTAGAACAGATCTTGCCTGGGCTATAACTCCTTTAAAACAATACATTCAAGAATGCACAAAATCAAATACTAATTCATGTTAAGCTTTTAACAGAAAAATCAAGTACTAAAGTTTAACACAAAAAATCAGACTGTGGTTTGACTCATAATCATGACTTTTCATAAGAGAAGTTGAGCAGTATGAGTTATGCAGACCTTTTCCTTTACAGCACAGCAAATGCAATAGAACATGGTTAAAGAGCTACAGGGCAATTTAGACATTCAGAAAAAAATTCATCCAGATCAATACACCCTGTTTCTCACAGAAGTCACTCTGTGTAGGCAAACTGTCAAAATTACAAGCATCAAGTCTTCTCCAGATGACCATTTTAGGGCTACTACAGGTGTTGACATAATAATGCATCGTTCCATTTAAACTTAAGTTCAAGTCTTCTCCAGATGACCATTTTAGGGCTACTACAGGTGTTGACATAATAATGCATCGTTCCATTTAAACTTAAGTTCAAGTTGAGCTTTCCTTTTATCCTTATGTAAAAACAAAACTGCTACAATGTTGTTACTGTCCTTACTAACACTAACTCACTTTGACATCCTGACTTTTCAGCACTTCCTTGTCAGATGAGTATCCAACACTGTTATGAAGGACTTAGGTTCTAATTTCTTGTAATTAATGATTTTGTAATGATTAATTGTAATTAATAATTTCATTAATGAAAACTCAGTAATGACAGATTTTTTCCTATATGTTTCTAATGTTCGTACATTAAATAGTACTGTTTAAAACCCATGATGATCAATAGGTTTTACAGTCTAATACTGTCATTGCAGAAATTACTCCTTTGCAAATGCACATGTTCTTAGATACAAAATTCTTCACAAAAACCCTACCAGGCTTTTAAAATCAAAATATTTCTAAAGCCACTGAAAACACAATTTCTTTGCAGTCGTTTGTCTCTCCTTTGAATTATACCTCAGGGAATACCAAAGTGTATCTTTCTGATTATACATTTTGTACTTGCTGCATCTTACCAGCTTCTTTTTCAGGTAACTGCAGTAGTGCTGGCATTGGTGGGTGAAGAAAGTAACAATCCTCGTGCTTCTGTTTAAATTCTTCAGCAGAAGTAGAATCAATGCTAAGAGCAAACCAAGCAACTAACCCATCTTCTTCATCTTCTTGCTGAACTTTTCCCTTGCAAGCAGCCATCAGGTTTATGTCAAACTGAAGGTCCACTCCGAGAAAAATCAAGGTACATTCTTCAGTTTGGTTCATGCACTGTTGCACATCCTTGTAGCACAGCCTGCAAAGCTTTACTTCTGGTTGCTGTGAGCTCTCTCTTCCCCCACCCAAAGTAACCAAGGGACTTAAATTGGAGAAAAGGATGTACACTGTAGCTGGATGGCTTTGTTTTTTACTTAGCCACTTAGAATCTGTTCTTTTATCACTCCTTCTGTCCAGAAGTGTCATGCCAAAATAATTTTCATATTCTTTCACATCATTTGACAAAAATCTAGGTTTCGGATCACCTTTCACATTAGCCAACAAATTAGCTATGTGTTTGTACCCCCAGAATTTAGCAATGTCAAGAGCTGTCTGCCTTGATTTATTAACGATGGATCTGTCACACCTGAATAAACAGAAAAGAGCTGAGGTTACCACAGTAAATAGGTTTAGGAGGGGTCCTGTTGCTGTACTATTCTTACAGCATACACATCTGACACTATTAGGGTACAATAACTTCTAGACACTCTGTCTATACTGGATAATCTTTAGGCAAAATGTTTAGCATTATGGTGATAAAATATAATTATAATTCTTCTTTTGCCAAGGCTGTATTTCACATTTTTGTAGATCCTTTCTTATTGATCCTTTCCAGATAATCATTCATCAAAACTCATGAAGTAGTACAAAGGCAACGAATTTATTAACATTCCACATACTGTAAAATTAAAAAGAGGGTCAAAACCAGAGCTTTGAAGTCGGGCTACAGGTCTGTTCCGCATAATCAGAAATCAAAATGGTAAAAAAAAAAAAAAAAAAAAAAAAA